TTCAATACGCCATTCATTATACTCTTCAGGGCGAGAACAACAGGCATAGTTCCTAAACTCTAGAGCCAGCGATGATTCGCCCACTGGGCTTGTGATAATTACGTATATTAAACCCAGCCCCTTAGGTAAATTAACTTAGGTATAATAATAGTCCTTTAATTGATTATACGTCCCTTAGAATCCATTTATAGCTTAAATAAGGTTAAAATGTTGATAAAACAATCAATTAAGTATTACACAGAATCATGCACTTCCTACTGGGGGAGTTTTTAACATTGTATTCCTGAAATCGTGTTTTCTTAATCATGTGTTCCGGATGTTGTAGTTTATTTTTCTAGTTTTTTTGCTATTGTTTATTGGTTATATTTTGCTTACATTGCTGACATGATAACTATTTTTTACTACTGATGTGGTTTCTTAAGCACATGTGCATGAATTATATCGTTGTTATTACCATAATTATTAATTTCTGTTCATTTAATTTTCTTTTGGATTGTTTTTTTTTAATTTTATAATTCTAGTAATGACAATTTATTCTTATAAAATTATTAATAAAATATATTTGTCTTTCAATCTTGTATGATACTTTAATATTTCATTATTTATTGAATGCAATCTAAAACAAATGCGCGCCAAAAGTTGGAACATTAAAACGATAAAAGAAACTAGGATGTCCACATATCTTTTTCAAATACACTATTTCACTTTATTACTGATAATTGGAAATCAACTGATGATCTATTCCAAGTATTATTACAGTCGATATATTCACACACACATGCATACATATATATGTGTGTTGGAAGGTATAATGCTCCATTTCATATAACTTAAAATGGATTTACTTTAAACTATTTCGGTTTGGATCTCTTCAAGGCATTGCGTGATATTTAATTACCCTTTTTATTTTTTAGCTTTAATGAAGATATTTTATTTGCATCTTTATTGTTCTTAAAAAATACCACGTCATAAAAGGTTTGTGCCGAGATGATGCAATATATTGCATCAGTCATCGTTTTCGAAGAATGAGCGTACTAAGTTAAATAATTCTGTAATTCAGGAAAATTTGGAAATTTTCTTGATAAAAATATAAACTGACGACATAGATCAAAATTGCGAACGATTTCGTTCTTGATAATCTTCACTTGCATGTTGCCGCAGCTGCCAATACGTTTACATGTGAATGCTTTGGTGTTTAATTTGTTGCAGAAAGGATCAGCATAAATAAATGAATTACTGTGATCAGTGTTACTTCCGTCACATAAGCGCATACATATCTGTAAGCTAACGTTATTAAAACAATAATTATAGAAAGACAAAAACTACTGCTAAAACGTTATCAGCATGATATGCATTCCATTTATTTTAAAGTAAAAATGAGTCAAATGTCTCCATGTGTTCGTGAAATTAAAAGGGTATTTGGGGATATTCACTATGCACTGTTTTCTTCTATTATTCTTTTAGTTAAAACTAAGATATGTTATCTTGTACTACGCGCTCCAAATGTTGCGTTTTTTATTCGAACTCTCTAAAGAAACTATAACACACATAAAATAAGCAAACATGAGTAAAAAAGAAAAGTAGCTCGTTAGCAAATGATATTTCAATAATTTTCAGCTACAGATTTAAAATGAATTATCCATACATGCATTAACAATTTAGTTACAAATCTTGCATGAATCAAAAAATATATATCTAAATGAAATCTACAAAACCCTCTCTAATTTAAAATTCAAATTTTGAAAAAAAAATATCATCAATTAAAAACTTTTATATTTAAAATATTAACAATTTCACATGTAGCAATACAAATTGTAATATTTGCAAAAATAGTAATTGTAAATATATATTACCATCGAAGACTCTTTTGAGGTTTTAAATCTAAATATTTAGACAAAATTGTTTTATACTACAGTCATATTTTCCAGCTCATTTATATTTAACATATTAATGTATCACTCTCATCGTTCCCCACAGCAAAACTTGTGTTCAGAAACAACGTTCAAAAAGGCGAATTAACCACAATTCCTACAGCATAAGAGGAGAATACATAAATTTATACAAAAAGGCAATATAGCATATCTATTAATTAATAGCTTGCTTATCTTTTTAACAGCAATCGTTCAAATTTTTACTCACTTGAGAAACTTGTATCCATTCAAAATAATTCCATTCTTCCAAAATATAACTTTCACTACTTAGATCTTATGCAAAAATAACAAATTATTTTGTGTGTGTGGCAATTACTTTTTAACTACGGTATTAAATTAGAGCGCGGGTACAAGCAGCATTCCGTACGAGTAATTGGAACAATTATTCAACAACAGCAAAGGGAAAAAAAGTACTTTTCGCACCTTATTGTAGCAATCGAAAATTATTGATTAACACCGAAAATATCGATTTCTGTCAGGGCAGGGTATTTACTAAGGATACAATCCCTACTTTCAGAAGGAACTTGAAGTAAAAAGAGGTAACTCGGTGAGATTCCTAGTATTTCGGAAGTGGACAATAAAACAGGATGTTTTGGAGTTTTTAAGGTGCACAAGTGCCCCATCAAATAGACCGCTTTATTGCCTTCGCGAGGAGAGTGAGATAGAGAAAAAAAATATCGGCTAAGTCCAGTTTTTGTTCAGTGGTACCAATTGTAACGGTTTGTGTTGTAGGAGTTCGGGAGAAGATTTAATATCTTCTTTTGTATAAAGCTTCCCCTGTTGCAGCACACAAAGGATTCTATCTCAAGATGGCGATATTATTTTGAGTGTCGCAGTAGAGTAAAGGAGATTTCTGGTTGGCAACATGTAATTTTTGTAAGAAATGGTGTAAGACTGCTAAACTACCATGTGCTTTAAACTGATAGTCTCTTTTTCTAAAAACAAGAATTTAAGTTATTGGTTCAGGTGGTAAAATACCTTTGTGCTTACATTTCTACAAAAAGAATTAGAAGTGGAATAAAATATAACAGCAGTATAAAAGTAAAAATTTGTATTTATATTGTTATTTTTTTATATAATTTAAAAATATTTTAAAAAAATTAAATGCAAACAGAACATCCTCAAATTTACTTAAATTGCGGTAACTATGCAATAAATATCCCTTTATTTGAGTTGAAAAAATGAGTTGATGCCAAACATGATAACTTTAGTAACCTCAGATATAATATTATTATTTAGAGAATTACAATTTAGAATTATAACTTAATTTTATAGAGCAAAATAAAATTCTTAATTTTATATTGGTAATGAAATATTATGATGTTGAAATTTAATATTTAACATGTTAAAATAAGTACATCTAAAGTTTTTCTTATGGAACGATACTTTTAAAATTAAAATTATTTTGAAAAATTTATCTAAAAGAAATCTTATGTATCCCATTTAATTTTTAATTACACAGGAAAAATCAATAAACTTAATTCATATTGTAGGTATAAAGATATTTTCAAGTCTAATACTAGTTATGAATAATCCTTAATAACTTAAATCGTGATTTTTAAAATTAATTTTTAACATTTACATTCAAAAACTTATCACCAGCCACACTATTCAAAGTTGAGAACAAAAATAAAACTCGACTGGAAAAAATGTGTGTTACTATTTTGAGGCAAAGTTTTGAACCTAATTGATAAGGATTATGTTGTGCGGAATTGAAAACTAAAATATTATATTTCTTTATCATCTGATGGGTAGCATATTAAGTTAAGGCAATTATAACACGTTTATAATACGAAACACTGTTCTATAACGTGTGATTAAAATACTTCGTTCAAATTGACACTTTTATACATTTTGACATTGCATTTTTTTTTAAATTGAAAATTAATAGTTAATAAACACTCAGTTTTTGATATAAATTGATTATATTCAGCGTCTACACCTTTGTGTTTTGCCTAAGACCTGCAAATGTACTCAGAGATTTCATTGCCATCATGCCCTAATCTCATTTTTATTCAAAATTTATGTTATATATAATGATCCGAAGTTCCTACAGATGAGAGAGATGGGATTACAACCATAGTAAATGTGGCTCAACTAAAATTAAAGTCTGATCGTATAGTGGTAACACAATTTTATTTAGAATAACGGCATACTGAAACTAACATTCTAAAACAAAGTATAAAAACGGTACTTATCTCAGTGAGAAGAGGACGGATTCAAGAGACCTGGGAGGGCTAAGTGGTGCTGCAAGTAGTCTAAAGAAAAGAAAAAAAGCCCCGAGAAATAGCGTGCAAGTGCTTTTAAAGTTGACCGCATTACTTCCGAAATAATACGCTGCGAATTTATTACTGTCTTAATACACTAATCTGATTTGCCCAACGGCTACTCACAGTCCGCGTAAGAATACAACCTTGTCAACCAGAAAGTGCAATGAACTGGGAACGCACCCACTTTCTTTACTAATCCCTGTTTCCTGTAAACAGGGCAGATGCAAAATTGAAATTGTATCTCAGGAACCAGAACTCGGCATCCCATCAATAATAATAAAATTTTGAATAAAAACTGTGTAAAATATAATAATTAGTGGTACATTTTCTATGTGGCAAGGGAAGTTTCCATTTATGATTCTATCATCGACAACAATACCATTTAATGTGCTTTAAGTGTATAATTCTAATTTAAAGTGTACAGGAAAAAATGGAACTATCTTTAAAGGATTCACTTGCTCTTGAATATCAACTTTAATTTATATTTTGCCAGATTTTGGATAATAACAATAATATATATATACATGATTATAATTTCCTAACGAACATAAAATCATAAGTTCACTTAACTATTCTAAAATTTTTAATAATCTCTGTAGGGAGTGAGAACTTTATAAACACGCACTATAAAGTAGCACGATCGCTGTTACAGGCGGACCACGTGATTTTGAGAAATAATCGGGCAACAAGGACTACACCTGAGCCTGTACCACTCTAACCTATATACCACACTAACGACGGTCGTCCAATTTAATATGCATCATGTGAACACATTAGCACTACGTCTTCTATGAAGATGGCTGCGGGTAGCTTAGTGGATAAAGCATCGGACTCCAGATCGGAAGGCCGTGCCACCAAATACCCTCCGAGTACACATGGAGTATGCGCTCGTTAAATCAGAGAGTACGAAAGTTTTGTGGGCTGAATTACGAGTGTAGCAGAATGAAGAGTATTTCCTTCCTCTTCAGTTCCATGCCTAAATTGCGAAAGTGGATATCGGTGGTGTTGCCCTCTACCGTTTTTTCTAGAATTTTTCCAAGCTAAATCGTACTGTCACCAGTATCGTGTTCAAGGCCAACGACAGGCGTACTTCTATCCACTTGCCACTATGAATTTCGTGGGCCTCGATCTGACTACGTCAGACAGGAGGCATTAAAAGGAAAAAACAATAGCAACACAACATTACTACGTCTTGAACGCGTAAAGCCAGTCACGAGTCCGTGACCATAACTACTCTTAGCTGCAGGTGCCACTAGAATCTCCCTGGGAGAATCCAGCCTTGAAATGTTTACCTCAGGTTATCAAGCCATGTGTCCACTACTAGTCTAAATCTGTATCTAAAAGCTTTTTTTGGCAAATGCGAATGGCATTTGGAAAAAAAAATAAAGTACTACAGGTTTTGAAACTTTTTTTGTGTTATAGTGATGTACAACAAAGATCAAACAATTTACAAGAATGAGCACAATAAAGCTACACAAGGACTATTATAGCGAATGACCGCGTAATTTTGTACCATAGTCAAGTGAAGCGCTGGAGGACCCCCTCCCCCTCTCCGAACTTCCATACCACATCAATGAGTACGTTTGAGCCTCGACATTTAACGTGCATCCGCCTCTTTTGCACGGCGGGTCTTCAGTGGTACTAGGCTTGAACTCATGACCTGCCAGCTGCAAGTTCTTAACCTGGGACACAAGGCTACAAAGCTACATTAATTTACTAGGAAATCTCACATAATTTAGCTTCCCATCAATGTTTATATCTGTGAGGAAAAATCTATCTTATGCATAAAAGTTATGAGTGACCTCCATTTCCACCCATTGAAAAGCATATATGCAAACTTTCATGGGTTTTATGTTACAACGTTTTACACAAAACATTATAGTAGAAAATATTAACGATCAAAATGTTTATAATATGTTTGAAATGTTAAATATATGTGATTTTCAGAAATTTCTAAACTAAAATTGAGCTCGACACATTGCATTGTATAACTTTATTTAACACTAGATTGCCCAAAGAAGTCGTTTTGACTGCTTTTTAATTTCAATTAGAAAAAAAATGGTGTATATAATGACACAATTTCATAGACCTTTTCAGGATACATTTGTTTTTCAGAGTAAAGTAAAATTCTTTTAATATTAGTATAATATTTAATAATAACTGGTTATATGACTGTAAAAAATATTAAAAATATTAAAAATTAATTTTAAGCAAATTTGTTTAAGCATTAGTTATTCTTTCACAATGTAGTCATTTTGATTGCTTTTGGGCAATATAGGTATATACTAAGTTTCAGACTTTCTAGTGTTAAAAGTAAAAACTACTATGTGATAATACATTATTTATTACACTTTTTAATCTACTTTAAATAAAGTGAAAAAAAAATGTTGCAGATAACTTTAGTTTTAAAAAGTACGGATACATAGTAATATTTCAAAACTCTATAATCAGTGTTTTAACAGTAAAAAAAAGAAGACAAAATTAAAATAGGTTTTAAAAGAAAAAGTCTCATTTTTTTAACAATAGTTTCCAATAATAAATCTGTAAATGTGTTTGAATACTTGAATTAATAAAAAAAAACTATTTTCAATTTGTGTTTGCTAATTTTATTTATCCAATAAGTTGTAGTTCCTTTACTGCAAATATTTTCTTTGTTCTTTTGTTCAAAAGTATTTTATGAAAAATAAAATAAAATTAATGGAACACACATACACGATATGTGTCTGTTCATGCGTGTGTGTGTGCGTATAATGTAAATATACAATTTCCTTAAACAATGAAGAATCATATCTCAAAATACGAATCTTATTTTCTTCAGCTTATTACAATGTGAAAGATTTATTTTTCTCTGCTTCTACTCTTCTTCCTTAATTTGTTTATTAGCAGTTGTACATAAACTATGGTTTTAGTTGTTATGTCCTTTTATTTGTTATAAATATGATTTTTATTTTATTAAAATCTGCTTACATAATTTCTTTTAAGAAAAGTATTTAACATTTCCTTATACTATTTCTTAATTTACGAAAAACAATCATATCTTGTTTTTCTTTTTTGAAGTGTAGAGGAAAATTTTTCCACATATTATTAATTATAAAACCCCTATAGCAGGGATGATGAATCATTGGCACGTGTGCCATTGGTGGCATCCGGCACAATATCTTGGGCACGCCACAGATCAAAATGGTTTTGCATTTTAATTCAGAAACTGTATTCTTGCAAGTAACCCCAAACATGAAAAACAATTTCAACGATAAAAATGTGCATGAGAAACCAGACAAAGATATAGTTATTGAAGAATTAATTTCCATAATTGATTCTTCAATAAAGGAGTATTCATCAAGATTTTCTCAGTTCAATGAATTGTGAAAAACGCTCAAGTTTATTATGTACTCTGATGTCACATTATTTGATAAACTGAACTTGATTCAATTCGATTCGTTGGAAATTGAAAAATTTGAAATGCAACTTATTGATTTCTAGTTTAGTTGATATTGAAGCAAGGAAAAATTTGGAATTGCTTGAAACAGATAGATTAAAAAGAAATGTAAGTAAAAATGCCATTAACGAAATTTTGAAAACTTGGAATTCGATTCCAGACACATTTAACTGTTTTAAGAAGCTAGCTTGGGCTATTTTAACCATATTTTCATCTACCTATGCTTGCGAGGGATTATTTTCAGAGATGAATAACATTAAAGACTCACTAGAAACCGTTTGGCAGATGACTTCCAATTCAACATGCATTCTGCTAAAAGTAACATTTTACAATGTTTATGTAAGTTATTTGTCATCTATATATATAATCTGCAACAACAGAAATCACACTAATGTTACTTAAATTTAATTACACGTACAACTGAAACATTTACTACTATACAGTGCAAAATGTATATTTTCGTAGTCAATAAAGAATTTTGTCTTGTGGGTATTTAGTTTTATTATTTTCAAAATTACATTAAAATCAAAATTAAGTCAAAAATATTTGATGACACGTCTATACCTCATTAAACATATCTTAAAGAAAAAATGGCACGTTGATCGAAAAAGGTTCGCGATCCCTGCCCTAGAACCAAATGATGAAATGTAGGTAAACAAATGTATTCCATTGGAGAGTATTATCCTCAAATACACCAGTGTTCTCATGGCAGACATAGAGAGCTGAATCTTTCAGTATTTATTCGGCCCCCTTATTTCAGGGTATGTTTGAGATCAATAAGAGGTTGAGAAGGAAGGAGGGGGATGACCCACCCTCGTTCGAGCAAGCGACCGGAACTTTCTAAAGAGAAATTTTTCCCGCCACACATGATTGACCTTTTGTAGCAGGGCCTTAGCCCAATTTCACACCGACAACAAAAGCCACGTAAAAAAATGGCGGAAGGAAATTCGAAAAATCTTGGTCAATTTTTTTATACTTCACTTATTTATTCTACAGAGAAAGGAATGTGGATGTAATTTTTTATTTAGGAAATGTAGTGAAAAGAATGTAAATAATAGAGAGACGATAGAAGTTTGTAGTTGTGATATTTTCAAAGAGAGAATTGTTTTGATCTTTTGCTATTGTGGAATGTTTTTTTGTTGGGCAAAAGAATGTTTTGTTATTCAAATCAATGGGACTTCGGCAACTACTATCAGACTGAGGGATCGTTGGGTTGATACTGGGTTTCATAAAGCATTGTCCTCGATCTTAAAAAGTACTCGTAAACAGAAATTATGAGAAAGAAATCTTGTCAGAAATCTCGGTTTTTCTGTTTTTCCACCCTGGAAAAAGCATATTGAATCTTTATATTAGTTCAAAGTCAGTACAAACTTCCAACATCAATTTATCGAGAAGAAAAAAATTCAGAAAATGTCTAAATTTTCAGACAGCTCAATATTTGATCCTTCTATTTTATTTGTTATTATGGGATCTCACAAAAGTGCTTTTAAAAGAAAATCTTCTGTATAGCTAAGAAATTCAAATAAACTTTCTCTTCTCAGTTCTTGAACTGTTTTTTCTTCGTAAAAAGAAATTTTTCCTACACTATGGAATTCAAATGTTCTTATTTTGGTCCTTTAATTGTTTACCTATATCACAATGTAATATATATATATTTTTTTATTATGTAATATGAATTAAAGCATTAAAAGTTATCAAAATAAATTATTAATTAATATTTTTTTAGTTGATAAATATGGTACAAAATGTAAACAGAAAAAAAATGTTTCTTATTATTTCCAATTTGAAATGAAATATATTTGTTGATTCCTTTTTAATTTAGATGAACGTTTTTGTAAAATTCTCCAAGAAATTGTTTTATTTAGCAGGGAAATATTACTTGAATTAAGCAGCTTTACTGACTTTAACGTTATTGATTACTAGATAAAAAAAATTAAATGGTTTTCTTGAATAAAATTGATCGAGTTATTTTTAAAGATTGATTTTAGAAAAAAAGATCAACAATTTAGGCAATTTTTCATTATTATGAAATATTGCATCGGTAATTCTTATATTTTTATTTATTTAAGAAAAACCTAAATTTAAAAATAGATGATCAACTCTCAAATAACTGAAATTAATAGCTAAATAAATTTTCATTTTTCTCCTACAGTGCTGACCTTAATTTTTGTTTTAACCTATTTAACCATAAATATGTTATTTGATTACACATTAAATCATCCTATTTTATTTTTGGATTTCTTGGAGATTTTTGGTTTTATGGAGATATTGCAGTAAAGCTTCACCGTCTGGGATAAGAAAAAATTACAACAACAAATTTAATGAAATAATTAAAAGTATTTTTAACTATGTAATGGTTTTTTGTTCTTACTTATCTAGCATCCAATATTTGAAATTTTTGAAAAGAGGTTAAAGAATAGTTTAAATTTGTTTGTT